AATCTATAAAACACAGACTGGTTTTCTTCTGGAATTCTTTAGTGTATTCCAGTAGCCAATGTATATTTGCAATATGAATCCAGCTTGAATGTTGGGTATGTCTTACTCCTTATAAGATAATAGGATAAGCACCACTGCAAAAAGAAACTGAACTGTCATTAAGTTGGATGGTATAAATTGGCGTCCTGTAACAGCATGGGGTTGGGCCTGATGGCCTTCTTGGCCACTTCCAGCTCTGCCGTTCTATGATTCTATTATTCTATAATATCCTACCGTTTTTTCCAAGGAACTTGAGGAAGATTACATAATTCTCTTCCTCCTTTCAATGCTGTCTTTACAACAACCCCGTGAGAAAGGTTGAACTGAGAATATGCGGCTGGCACAAAGTCACCCATGCCTGAATGGGGATTTCTGAATCCCAGTCCTACATGCTAAACCACCACACCATTCTTTTGCATCTCCTTTCTTGGGGATTGGCTGCACATGTTTTTGGTCAATGGACCATTGCTTTGTTTTCTATATTTGCTAACATATTCTTGTTAAGATTTGGACTGATTCAGTCTCTGTAGATTGGAATACTTCTGTTGGCCTGCTCTCTACTCTTGGGTGCTTTATTCCTTCCAAGGACTTTCAGAGCAGCTTTCACTCTGCTGACTAATATTGCAGGCTCTACCTCATGCAAAGGAATCTGTCATCATTTCATCTCTTCTGTATAGTTCATCTGTGTATTGTTCACACCTTTTTATTTTATTCTGTTCAGACAGTATGTTCCCCTGTTTGTCTTTCAGCATTCCTAATCTAGGTTTGAATTTCCCTTTGATTTTTTGGATCTTCTGGAAGATGTCTCATTTCATTCTTTTGTTTTTTTTTCCTATATCTTTGCACTGGTCATTGTAATCATTCCTTTTATCTCTTTGTGGTAGTCATCCAGCTAGGCTTATTCATTTTTTTGCTGCATAATTTTTCTTGGTGTATTCTTTGCTAATTATGCCTCTCAGTCCATAATTCTTCTGCTTCTGCGTCGTGAGTTCAGTAATGCATATCTGGTTTTTTTAGGTGGACTTAAATTTCCTCAGCAATATTAAATTGAATTTTGACACCATGCTTCTTTTAGTGATCTTTTTTTTCAGCTCTCCTCTGATATTTATTTGATTTATATGCTTTTTTCTATTTTTAAAGAACTCCAAGCCACTTAGATCATTTTCTTCCTCCTCCTGCTCTCAATCTTATCCGTGTTTTTTTATTAGGCACACAAAACTATTAGTTCAAAAGTATTAGGAGGTGTTAGTCACTATCACAATCTGTTCCTAGTCTTGCTTTAGCAGTAAGAAAACAGCTGCTTTATCTTCTACTTCAAATTACATAATCTATTCGATTTCTGTATTGACCATCTCTTGCTTTACCATGTATATAGTTTTACGATGGGTTGCTTGAAGGTACATATTTGCAACAGTAAACAACTTCTGAATATTTCTTACCCTAAAAATTTTATGATAAAACAATCCAATTGAAAGAAGAGATGGTGCCAGAAGATAAAACTCCAAGGCTGGAAGGCATTCAGCTATTGGGGAAGATTCAGGGACAAATATAAATAGTGCTGCCATTCATGATACAACTAGATGAAAGGAAAAAGGAAGTCTAGTGGCTGATATGAACAAAGGTGAAAGGTAAGTCCAGTGGTACACAATCAATACAATTGGAACATGAAACATGAGCAGTTTGAATCAAGGCAAACTGGAGATTTTAACGTGAGAAATTGAATGATTATGCGTAACAGTACTTGATGTGAGAGTTGACTAGAATGGGGCATTTTTTAGTCAGACAATGCAAAATGTTTTACTTGAAAAATGACAAAATCAGAAGTGGAATGACTCTAATACTGAGGCAAGAAGTAACACAGGCAATAAGGGTCTATGAAGTTGGATTGAATCGTATCAGTCAGAATCATATCGACATAACCATCACTCCTCATGAAGGAGAGGAAATAGAAAACTTTTATGGAAGCTTCCAAGAGGAAATTGATAACACACTAAAACAAGACACGTTGCATCAATGGTGACTGGAACACAAAAATAGGAAACAAAGCAGAATTAACAGCACATTACTGTTGACTGGCAAATGGATTGAGACAGGTAAGGACTTTACTTCCAAGCACCGTGAGAATACAAAAGCAACCAATCTGGGGAAATGGAGTGTCAGAAATGTGCTACTTCTTTCCTCTAACATTGTTTATGCTTTCAAAGGAAAGCCTGTGGAACTGTTTTTCAAGTTAACTTTAAACTAATGTCAGAAAGCACAAAAGTCAGGATAAAGGGGCCAAAGGTCTGGTCTGATCTGTGACCTGTGCTACAGAGTGATTTTTTTCATTTGTTGTGCATAGCACACTAAGACTATCCAATGTAAACTTAGAATATAGGGATATTTTAAAGTGAAACTAATCAAAGTTGTGCATGGAACAATACAACTTCCTTGAATTGAGAATCTCTTTCCTTAGCAATGAGTCAGTTTATTTTCAACAATTATGGTTTCTGCCAAGTTGGCTTGGCAGTGCTCATGGAGAAAGAACTTCAGAAAACATTAACCAAATACTCATGTTAGGGCCTTAACTGAGAATCATGTTTATAATTTGAAGTAGCATCAGCAGGTTTTTTCAGTAAGATACCATGAACTGGATTTTTATGTTTTACTTCTATGTTTTCTTCAATCATATGTCAAAGCTTGCTCTGTGTTCTTGTGATGTAGATACCTATTTCTATGCTATATAACATGTTTACTGAATAACCTTTACATATGAAATAGGGAACTAATCTTCTGCTGATGTGTTTAAAGCTTAACTCCATTTATGTCCTGAACTGAGTGATGTTACTATGATAACATTCTGTATGTCTCTTCTGAGAAAGTGGAAGGTTTGTATATTGAATAGAAGATTGTGGAGATGATGTGTTCATAAAATGTATGAATTTAGAAACATTAGTGGAGTTTTCACTGTCATAAATATTCATATTGATCTGAAGTGTGCAACACATTAAGTACCATGTAAATTCTATAAGAATGTAGGCTGCAAAGGAGTGGTACCTGTTGGTTTTTGTCACTTCGATACCTGCTGAGGAATATCAGTACCCTTATTTCTGGCTTGCTTAGAAATATATTGCTGAACCTGAATGAATTCTGTTGCTTCATTTTTCCTAGTGTGACTGCCAATTCAGTCTACTGCTTACTTGGCAAACACTACAGAAGTTTAAGGTTTTGCATAATGCAGCCTTTTTAAACAGTTTTTAATGCTATGGTCAATGTACATGTCTGTTCAGATTCAACTCCCATTGAATTCAGTGGTGCTTATTCCCAGATAAATGAGTGTAGGATTGTAATCTTACTGTGGAAAATGTTTTACAGTTTTTAGGTTGTGCATCCTCACAACAGCAATATGAGGTAGATCATAGCTATGCACATTTTGCAGATGAGTGACTAAAGCCAGGGTCCGTAACTGAGGTTGGATATAGAACCCAGATGCCTAACACCCCAGATCAATTGATCCTGGACTACCATTGGTCTGCGTTCTTCACTTCTGTGTCAAATATTTTCTGTTTTAAATAGGCATCTGTTTTAGTCACAAAAGCTTTGAGTTAATCTTTATTCTGCCAGTAGAGGGGGAATGGAGATAGAAAAGGGTAGTGATTCTGGGTTAGGGCAAAACAGGCAAAATTCCATAATGAAAGTACCTTTGGAAAATATTTGGCAGTAGCAAATGGTAACATCTGCTAGCTTGGAAATATACAGTGAATGATAGTTATTTAATGAGTTAGAAAGTTTCTGATAATCTAATTACTAGTGGTAATATCTTCAGGAATGTACTTCCTACCACCCCCTGCAACTGAAGATTAAGTTGGAGTAACTGTTGCTATCCTTTGTAATTTATTAGTATCATGTAACTTAGGATGGGATAAATATTCTATGTAAGTATTTTGTCTGCCTTGATCACTGTCCAAAGAGTCTGGTTTTGAAATGTTAAGAGTAATAATCACATTTCCAGTTGTTTCTACAGGTGTTTCAAGTGATATCAGAAAATAGTTACTGTGTATATGGTTATTTTGACACACATCCACGCATACTCAATTTTACAATAAGTGAATGGGATGTTGCTAAAAGCTTCAGTGGGATTGAAGAATAACATAAATATATGAGTACAGCAAACAATGTATTGAAACAGGTTTAACGAATTGAGTTGTCTTTTTTAATCAGTTTCTTTATCTATTATAATGTCCCATTAAAAAAACAGCTACACCAAAGAACAATTGTGGGTAATGTTTTCTTGTTATCATACGGCTGCAATTTTTGGGTATGTTAGAAGGTCTGTACTGCTGCTCAACTCTCTTGGGGTATGTGTACACATCCAGAATTCTCTTTATGTGCCTCTAACAAAATCTCTTTAACTTGAGAAAGTTCAGGTTCACATGCTTTCTCTCCCCCGCCCCCCCACCATTAGCTCCATATTTTTTTTCTTCGAGACTCATTCTTAGACACTGTTGGTCCCTTTTAGTGAGTCTGCTTGCTCTTATTAATCGTTCAGTTACCCTGTTTGATCCTTAATATTAAATTTGTTAAGGGATTAACTCTGCAGTTCCTGGATAGCTTCAATGGACACATGTGACTTAGAAACTCTTGTAGACTCAGAATATTGGTGCCGGGGGAGAAGAGAAGTTAAAACCGTAAGAAGCCTCTTCATTTTCAATCTAGGGACAAGTCTGAGGAGTGTGGCTGTATAACAGGGATTCTTCCTCTTTGCTTGAGATTCAGAACTAATTTAATGGAGAACAGAACCATAGGAGGATAACACTGTTTTCTTCATTTCCCCCTAGCAGAGTGGTAGCTCCCATTCAGAACTCTCTGTCGTTCACACACTGAGTTGTGTGGTGGAAGACCCAAAGATAACGGGAAAGAACACTTTAGGTGCCAGTCGCTTCATAGCAGGGTGCCTTATCTACTTCCCCGGCGCCACTCTTTCCCTTTTGGCGCTTTTGCTATTTCAGTCCTGTTAAGCCAGACCAGGAAGATGCAGGGGGTCTTAGAAGGCTGGACTGCTTTCCTATGGGTAACAGGTAAGGGTTTTAACCTTTTAGTTGCATGGTGAGCTGATAACTTTTTAGAGCTGAAAGGCAGCGATCTGGATCCTCGCTCTTCTCTGAGTGTGTGTGTGTGTCCTGGACGTTATAGGAAGGTTTAAGTATGTTCTGCAAATGGAAAACAAGGAGAGAGAAAAATGCTGAACTCCTGGCAAACAGCATGTTCGAATGAGTCTCAGGCTTCGATTATGGTTAGTAGACATTTAAATACGACATGCTCCCACATCGCATTTCTGTTCAAAAGAAAATTCACCTTTATCTTTCCCCAAATCTTTTCACTCTTGATTTGAGTGAGAAGCAAACAGGCTTAGACTGGGCATGAGTTGCCACAAATACTGAAGATGATAATCAAGAGAAGCAGGAGCTCCAAGGACCACTTGAGTAATTGTGTTTTCATCTTTGGGGTTGGTTTTATGTGGCAAAACATATTTTGGATATGTATTAGGAGTGGGGAGGTGTGAATTAACAAGGAATAGATGGGCTGAAGGTTTTTCTGGATTCCCAGGCAACCAACTCGGTACATGCTCTATACAAATGTCTGGATAATTAATTCAGAGTCAATATTACCCCCCTTCAGTCCTAACAATCACTAATCCAGAATAATATTCCACCTTCGCTCACAAATATGCAATAGAAGTCTCTCTCTCTGGTTGTATATAAAATCTTCTGGGTATATTTATTCTAAGTATAACAAATTGCTTTTGATTTATAGCTTTTTCACTAAAAGGAAGAGATCTCTTCTGAGGCTACCTGTACAAAGCATGCCCAAACACTACTTCTGCAATTGGGTGTGCTTGTAGCAAGGTGTCAGGAACATCTAAGTATCATCATCATCATCAATCATCATCAAATCAACCCTCAAACCCTCTGTCTTTTCTAGCTTCAGAGAAAATAGACTCCTGGGCCAGCAGAAATCCTTGTAGAGGGATGGGGTTCAACAGATTTCTAGGCTAGGAAGCTACTTGTCTGGTCCCTCCAAAGCGTCTACTATCCATCCTAGACCCAATTTTTAGCTGTGGTAGTTTGAGCTTTGTATTTGCTGTTTCTTCCTTTTCAGCATAGCTGCCTGCTTTACTGAATGTGTCCCAGTGTCCAAAATCTTCCCTGTTATTTTAATCAGAGGTGGCTAGTTTCTCTGCTAAAAATGTTGCCCATCTGTCTGGATTAATTCCTTCACCTTGCCTCCCCAGAGCCGCTGCAGCATATTTTCTAGTTGCAGCTATAGTGTGCCAGCTGGGACCAGACAGTCCTGCACTTACTCTTTCTTTTCTGCCCATGTTCCAGACCACAAGAGTGGCTTGCACTTTGGAAAGCTGAGAAGTGAATTAAAGTAGGCAGGGTGTGGCTCATCTAAGGTGTCCTGAATGCTCTCTGTGGTGCTGCATGCAGCACATTATTTCCATGACAGGAATCAGTGTTCTCATTGCTTTTTGCAAAAGGCAGTCTCTGTGTTGGCTAACTGCTGCCATAAGCCATAGTTTGTGGCACTCCTATATAGGTCCTCAGGAAAGGAGTTAATTTTCTTGACAGCTATTTTCAGTGATTTTTAGGAGACAAAGTCAACTGCAAAAAGATTGCGTGTGGGGCCAGGTGACTGGAGGGTTACCCCAGCTGAAAAGGCTGTTCTGTTACTGGAAAGTGCAGATGTTATTGGTTGGATTAGCACTTTTCTCTGCTCGGGGGAGAGCATACTTCCTGTTTCTTCATGGACAATTCATTGTTGCTGCTGCTGTTTTTGCTGGTCAGGTGGACTTCCGGTGAGATTAGAATTCCCACATTGCTACTTCATATAAAGTTATTCTGGCATCATTTAGAGGCCTGAGTGCTGTGGGATAAGATTGTATTTATAGCAGCAGGCAGCTTTATATAAAAAAGTCACTTGATTTTCTTGCACAAAAATGTGCACAACTGCTGTTGTACAGCCACATACGCTCATGTAGGAATGATGCTCTATTTGAAGATGCCCCCCAAATAATTCTCTGTCAATGTATAAATAGGGATTGAGAAGGAATGTCCAGAATTCCCTGTCAGGCTTGCACTTCTATGAGCAGAGTGGAGGACTGTTCTTATATTTCCTCTCCCAAGTGTTTGCTCACCTTTTAGTTCCAGGGCTAAGTTAAACATAGTATTACTTACAAAAATAATAGTGGTGAATGTTTTAAAAAAGCAAATCACTCTGGAAAATATGGTACATTTGATATGAAATCAGAGAAAGTAAAGTGGGCATAGTGGGGTTGGAGGAGAAAAAATTGAACTGAGCTACAGAGGAATTAAAAAAACAATTTCTGAAATGTTATGATGCTACTTCTTGCAGTGTTCAGTTACTTTTTTATAAAGTGACTTGCTTGACATTAGGCAAGCAGGTTATGTGGGATAACTTCCAAGAGTCTCAAGTAAGAAATAAAAAAAAGGCAACAATAACAGAAAATCTTGTGGTATAAGCTTTTGGCGCTGAGATGGTTTTATCAGATGCACAAAATGGGCACCCAATTTGACTGGTTATATATCCTTTGAGCAGTTGAAAGAAGGTGAAAACATTGCCAAAAATATATAAAACATTCTAAACAGTATTTTGTAATGTGAACCAGAGATGTCTAAGGATAAGTTTTGAACTCTTGGATAAAGAGTCAAGATTGCATTTGGCAGGACTTTTAAAAGTAAGGCAAACAACCTTCATTGTGTACATAGCTTTTCTACAGAAAAGTGTCCTGCTGTGTTCTCCAGCCTTGAGTTCCCTTTATACCTCAAGAAGAACTTGGTGGGGTAGGAGGCTTCATCCTGTGACCCATGATCCACCACTTCTCAGCCTTCTTTTTAAGCACAGAAGGAATCCCTGCAATGTAGCCCACAGTGGCTCCATACCATAAGCCCAGTAGCTACAGAAGTGAACAATGGCCTTCTAAGAAGTAGACAGCTCCTTAGAAAAGGAGGAATTAACAGGCCCAGACCTACTAGCCCTCATAAGGCACCAGAAAACCTCTGCATGCTGTGGCATGACTGAGTTTCAGCCAGTGATCTTACAAAGGCCTCACCTTGCCTGTTCATAATGAGTATTGCCTGATCTGACCTTATGTTACAGATGTGACCTCGCTGTGCCAGATGTGAGGCAATTTTTTTCCAGTGGTGCCACTGCTGCAACCTAGTCTCCCCTAGGAGCTCTGTGTCAAGCTAGGAGGGACAAACACCAGGCAAGCAAAGCTCTTACATGCTCTGTGCCCACAGCAGTAGCACCCTTAACTCACCCAGCAATATTGAAAATCTGTCTGGTGATACATTGCTTTAAGTAGAAATGTTTCGTCTCAGTACAGAAAAAAAATTAAAAAGGAATAAAAAAAAAAAAGAAAAACACTGGCCCAATTCAAAGTGTTAACATCAATATTTAAAGTCCTGAACTGTTGGGGGCCATGTTCTCTAAAGGAGCACCTCTTCCCATATCTGTCTACCTATATCCTAAGATCGTAATCTGAGGTTCTCCTTAGAGAGCCCTCTCTGAAGGAAATGAAGAGGGTGACCATGAGGAGAAGGGCCTTCTTGGTAGTGGCACTCTGACTCTAGAACCAGCTCCCCAAAGAGGAGCCTGGTGCTCTCTACTCATTTCAGTGCTAGGTGAAGACCTTTTTATTTGCCCAATATTTTAATATGAATAATTTTAAAGAGATTTTTAATATGGTATTTATTGTATTTTAGTACTATTGTGCCTTTGGTTTAATTAAATTGTGGTTATTGTGAGGTTTTATAGTGGGGCTTTCCTGTGTTTATTGCTGTTCCTTTATTGTTACAGTATGTATGTTTAGTTTAATATTGTTTCATTGGGTATGTTCTTGCTTTTACATTTTGTAAGCCATGCAGAGTTATCCTGGCTAATGGGCAAGCTAAAAATTTAATAAATAAACAACTGTACATAATTTACTTTATCTTTTATCTACAAATGTTAGAAGTGATTATGATCAGTTGGCCAACTCAAATAGACTTTAATTGGAAGACATACAAGTGGGTCATAGATCAGATCAAGCAAGAATGTTCCCTAGAAGCAAAATTGATAAAACTGAGGTTGTTATACTTTGGACACATCATGAGAAGACATGGTTCCCTATGGAAGATACTCATGCTAGGGAAATTTGAAGGTGGAAGAAGAAAAAGAAGACCAAAGGAGCCACAACATTGAACTTAGGGTTTTTGCCACTTCTGTCAAATGGCATGGTAGCCCAATCCTTTTTTCCATGATGGGGTAGTTTGCGTGGGTGTGGATGACATAACAATCCATTGTGGGAACAACAACCTCAAATCCAGTTACCACTCATAAGTTGACAGATTGGCTTATAGCCCCTCAACAAAACCACCTTGTGGGAATCTGTTTCAATTTGTATGACAAGAGAACACACTGGGGGTAGTAACCCACAAGGGATAGAAACAGAGCGAGTCAGAAGGGGCCTTCCGGGCCATCTAATCTAACCCCCGGCTCTAGCAGGCTCCACTCACTACATGTCTCCCATGTGCATGTCTAGCCTATCCTTGAACACCCTCACCGTTGGGGCCTTAATCACCTTCTGTGGAAGCTGATTCCATACCCTCAGGGTCCTAACTGTCAGGAAGTACTTCCTGGCATCCAAATTGAACCTTGGTTCCCTGAGCTTTGCTCTGTTGAAGCACGTCCTGCCCTCCTCTGCAGGGGAGAACAGGTCTCTACCCACCTCCGTGTGACACCCCCTCACATACCTGTATGCTGCCAATAGTTCCCCCCTAAGTCTCCTCCAGCCTGAAAAGACCCCATTCCTTCAGTCTCGCTTCATACGTCTTTCCCTGTAAACCAGCCACCAACCTTGTGGCCCTATGCTGCACTAACTCTAAATTGTCATGTTGTGAAAACCCAAACATTACCTTCTAACCAGTACTTTTAAAACTCACCTGATCCTCACAATTTGATAAATCATGGTGGCTTGTCACCATAGGTTTTCAAACATCCAAATGAAAGGTGT